CCCCCCCCACCTCAAGATAAAAATTCTCTGGCCATGGCCCCTGCTAGCAATGCTACTTGGCTACTTCCTGACAGCAACCTCACCAGCCCTGCAGCAACCTGTCCTTTCCACCTCTCAGTCTTACTCTCATGGCTCCCCTTCCCCCCCAGGTATGCTGCTTCCCTCTCCTCTCACAGTCCCAGTACCTCAAGACCTATCCAGTCCCCTCCTCCCGGTTTCCACCCCCACTACACACTTGGGGGCCTCACCGCAGGTGTCCGGCAACCTGGTCAATGTTGGACATGTTCAGTTGGTCCTTGATGACACTGAGGTCTCTGTGACTGCTACTGGGAGATGAGGTCAGTATCACTCCATGTTGCCTCATCTGAGGCCTTTAGGACACAAATGTCACTTCTAGATGATTTTGTGTCTTTTCTCACAAAAGCAATATGACACAGTGCAACGAGTTCTGGAGTCTAGGTTTGCAAATGGGCTCTGCAACCCTTGGGCAAATTGATGATTCTTTCTGAGCTTTAGTTTCCTCATCTGCAAAATGGGGACATCACCCACCTCACAGGGTTGGGTGAGAATTAAAAATAAGTTGCTGCCATTCACTTCTTATGAACACACTCCTGCTCATTTATCTCATTCATTCCCCAGCCTTCTGCAGCCCAGTCCTCACTCCTGTTCTGTAAGCCTGGAGAACAAGTGATTATTGGACACCGCCTCCTCTCCTCTCACCCATGTTTGCATATAGTGCCTCCTCTTCCTGAAAAGCTCTGCTCTCTTTCATCTGCTCCTGGTACTACTCCAAGACCCAGACCAAACCAGTCGCTTTCTTCAGGAAGCCTTGCCTACACCCAAGCTTGGCAGGTGTCTCCGGTGCTTCTGCAGCCCTCAGGTGCTCATACCTACCACAAGTGGCTGTGAAAGTGTCCAGCCCCAGAGGAGGAGCTCCTGCATGGATCCAAGTGGGACCCATGGATTAGCTGGAGTCATCTGCCAAGCAGGGACAGATCCCTCCTCTCCTATCCCTTTACCTGGGCTCACTAGCTCCCATCTGGAATATCTCCTGTTCTGGAAAATCACGCCTGGGCTCCTCCAAGGCAAAGCGCAGGACCCTCGGGCTATACTGGACCCAAGCCTGGGTCTGATCCCTGCAGAAGGTGAACACGAAGGAAACTCAGGGCTCCTCCCGGGGAACCACAGGAAAGGCAACCCTGACTGGCCCCAGTCAGGTGCAGGGCTAGCCCATCTGAGTTGTGGGGCCCGGGCCCAAGTCCAGGTGTGTCTCCCACCTGCCCTCACAGATGGCTTTCTGGCGGAGGCCTTGCAGCAGCAGCCGCAGTTCCTGGCGCACAAGGTCTCGTAGCAGGGGCGGCGGCGCCAGAAGGGAGGCGGGGTCAGTGGTGCGGCCGGAGCCAGGGCCTTGCGAGGATCGAGCCTCCCGCAGCAGCGACCGCAGCATCACCACCTGCAAGGAAAGCCGACTCCGTGCGACCGGGAGGGAAGTGACGGAAGGGAGGACGGCCGGGGGAGGAGAGGGGAAGGGGGAGCCAAACCCGAGCGGGCGGGCGGCCCGTGGGACCCGAGAGCGTCTCCAGTTACCCCGCAGAGCCGGAAACCCAGAGGTGGGGAACCCCAGAGCCCGGGGGCCGGCCCGGGGTGTGGCCGCCCTCCCACTCGCCC